TGACATTCTCATTGTGCAAGTCTGAACTAAATGCCACAAGTAGAACAGGCTCTAGAAAGTCCTACCATGAGAAGAAGAATCTTCAAATTAAGGACCAAAACCAGCCCCTGAGCCTTTAATCATCTTCACAAACAGGTGGTTGCCCACTCATTAGACAGAGTGTCTTCCCCAATGAACTGCTGTTTTAATGAAAGTCTCACCTGCAAGAGACCACCTGACAAGAATCACTGGTGAAAGAGTCCACAGACCTCCAAGGTGAGCACCCACTTCCAAGGTGAACAGGTCCCTGCAATGCTACTGCCACCCAGTGATGGCAAATGGCACAGTAGTGGTCACTCCATGCCACGGGCTGAACATGTGGGACTTCTAGCCACAGAGTGTATCACCCCAAGACTTACTCAACAATATCTGTACAGAGTCTCACAGGCTGTCACTGATGGCCTAGCTGTATGGTCAGGTCTTTGGGCCTCCCAGGACTAGACTAGCGAAGGCATACCATATATTAGGTGCACCCTTCATGGAAACATAGAACTATTTAACTATAGACTCAATAGTTATGTTATATATATGGTTATATGAAGCAACCACTTTTCTAAGAGAAAAGTGTCTAGACAAACATACATGGAAAAAGCCAAACACATGTGGCTGTCATCAAGAAGAAGTTACTTTACATGTTGACCAGATCGTAACAACAAGCTGTTCCAGGAACCAGCACATAGCAGGATGCAAGAGAGAGGGGCTGATTTATGTCAGAATGAACACCAATTACCATCAGACAGTCTCTAAGGGGGGCTTGCAGAAAGCAACCTCCATTCTGGCGTGGGTCCAGCTTGTGGGACAGACAGACAGTGGTCACATTATGGAACAGTCTTTCCTCCACAGCAAGTTAAATGAATAGAAATCCACCTAGACACCTTTCAGTAAGACTCAATATCAAATACAAAGCTAAAATCTTAAAATAACCAAAAATTATGTGCTATGTGTGGAGGCTGACAGATTTTTTTGCAATGTTAGAGGCCGGGTGACAGTGGAATAGTATCTTTGAAGTAATAAAGAAAAACAACTGTTGATCTGGAATTCTACATCTAGCTAAAAGATGACCAACACCTGAGTCAGAAGAAAACGGAATGCAAAAATAAGGGGTAGAATGCAAAGAAGCAATGGTGCACAAAAATATATATATATATATTACCAAATCTAAAAAAGCAGGGACTGCATCAACAATAATAGCTAACTTGAGGGAGGTGTTAAAACAAGATAAATTTAAACTACGAGGCAGTAACAGCACAGCAGAGGAGTAGGAGTGCTGATTAACTTTATAAGTTTTATAAAGTCGAATATGCATGCGAAAAAATGTAAAAGGATCACTGAAGAATGTTCGCTAATAAGTGTGGCAGGAATTACAGAATTATAAAGTCACCATTTTGCGACCTCTGATAAAATAACAGATTTAGACAAAGACGAAGGAGTGGAACCTTTCGGCGGGAGGGATCAGGCCGCAGCCGCGAAGCGTGGCACTTCCCAAGAACGGCCTCTCGCTGAAGTGCACAGCATCGCGGGCAAGAAACCTGGAGCAAAGAAGAAGACTAACCCGAATTTAATCAGCCTTTAGAGCTCTCTTTCAGTTTAGAGGAAGTAGTGGGAATAGAGGAACAAGTTAAATAACACGAGCACACACCCAATAAACCCAGAGTGTGAGACGTCCCACAGGAATCCATAGGCAAACCGTGAGCAGCAACAGAAGATGCCGGTGACATTGCTGCGTACGAGATCAATAAAATCAATCCCATCCATCTCACTATTCCAATAAAGATATGAAAAATTTTAATAAGCCTCCCATTCTGGGTAGCTACAAAAATAAAGTATCTGGGATACATATGACAAAAGATGTGCAGGACTTTTATAAAGAAAGCCATACAACTTTACCGAAAAACAATAAAGCCTGAAATCAGTGGAGAGCCTATGTTCATGACTGTAAAGTTCATTTGTAAGTCATGTTTCCTCAAATTAATCTATAAACTCAATGCAACTCCAAGAAAAAAAGGCAGTTAAGGGTATTTTATGGAACTTGCCAACCCCATCTTAAAAATTTATAGGAATAGTGCCTCTGTACCGTCCTCTTGGTTTTATTGGAAACGTAAAACTGCTCGAAAAAATAGTCTTTAAAGTAAAAAAATTAAGTGCCAAGAATAGAACGATTTTGAACTTGCCTTATCAGATATTGAGATTTTATCAAGACTGTGGTATTAGCAAAAGTATAGCAAAATAGCCCAAGAAAGCCAGCACCAGACCCATGCGTGTACATCAGCGTGGTAAATGACAGGCAACGTTGTGTCGCAGAGGAGCAAGGAGTCACTTGCTGAAGCAATAAATCAGATGGCATGAGGTCCTTACCCATACAAATTAAGGTAGGATCAAGTACCACATAGAAAATGCAAATCTTTAAACATTTTAAAAAGTAGAGGACAAGTCCTCTGACCTTGAGGTAACCAGTGAAGCAAAGTTAAAATACAAATCACTGCAAGAAGGTATTTCAAAGGCATGTCACTAACAAAAGATGATGTCCACAGTGTGTCGAGAGCTCTCAATGAAGAAAACCCCAGTATGAACAAATGGCAAGGGGTAGACACGAGCAACTCACAGGTGGGCGGGCGCCCACTCTGGCCAAAATGGTAAGTTGAAGTAACACAAAGTACGAGGAAAGTGCGGGAAGCAGGCCCCCTCCTGCACTGCTGCTGAGACACCAACTGGTTCTGCCACTTCGGAGACCCATTTGGGCATACTTAGCCGTGTTGCAGCTGCACATACCCTCTGACCCATTGATTTTCTTTCTGACTACACGCTCAACAACAGAGCTCTTGCGCAGGAGCACGAGACGCTCCAGTATGTCTGTTCACTGTAACCTTGGAGGAAATGGTCAAAAAGAAAACCACATTAGATTTTTTTTTCTGTTACAGGGGAATGAGAGGTAAGCTGTGGCCTAGTCATGCAATGGGATACCAAACAGCACTTAAAAGGAATGAATTAAGAGTTCCATACAGGGTGTCCCCCCCAAAAATGCATACACACTTTAACAGGCGACAGCTCAATTTTGCAAATGAAACGTATTTTAATAAACACTGCCTTTATAATTATTCAAAGTATGTGTGTACACTTTTTTGAGACACTCTATATACCAAATACATTTAAAAGAGCAAGCTATAAAAGAATACATATAGCACAAACACCATGTAATTTGTTTACAGATACACCCGTATATGGATAAGAAAGACAATAAAAATAGACAGGAAAGATGCCCACGAAATTCAAGGTAGCATTTACCTTTGGAAAAGGAAAGAGAATAAGGTTAGAGGTGGCAAAACTTTAAAATATAACTTCATTTTCTTTTTTAACCAACGACCCTTAAAGCAAATGTGGCCAAATGTTATGATCTGCCAAAGCTGGGTGGTGTTTACAACAGAAGTTATCCTCTGAGGTACTTCCAGTGCCTGACCTATTTTACAATAAAAAAAATAAAGGTAGCCAAGTGCAAAGGTAGCAAGGGAAAAACAATACTCCCTACCTTTTATTCAACCAGTTTTCCATGATTCGCATTGCTTGTAGAATTGTAATTCTGTCTAAAAAACAGAACTGTCGGTTTTTCTATGCTAAATTGCTTTGCGGTAGTCAGGCCCACAAAGTGTCTTAAACTGGGAATTTTATTTCTCCTAACTGGGGCACAATCCTTAAGATGCTTGTGACACTCTCGATCCCCAACCCAGCAGCCCTTTCTCTTGCTAACAGAACCAATTTCGTTCAGGTGTCCGAGGGCTGTCTTCTTCAAAGGGCACTCAGGGCCTGTGGGGAGGAATCTTGATTATTTTAAGCCAATTACAGTAATCCCATTCTGTGTGTCAATAAGTGATTCAGAAACGGGCATTTCATGTCCTGTCGTCAGCAAGCAGGTGAAGTCCACCGAGGGGCCTGTGCGGAAAAGGCACGCCTCGGAGAGACACAGAGCAGCACACGATCTCTTGTGGCCTGCGACACTGCTGCCAGTGGGTGGTGCCTGGAGATGCTGCGACAGTCTTGCTGCACCATGAAGGGCCCGTCCTGGGGACCGAAACTCACAGCAGATGAATGGGCAGAAAACCGTGGCAGGAGAGACCCTGGGTTCCTGCTGCCACCACTGAGCCACTGAATTCCCCAGTCTCGGAACTGTCCTGCCCAGGTTTCTTGTGACATCCATTTCCTTACTGTCTACGACCCACTTGATTGCTCTTGAATGAAACCCAAGGCAACTCTGAATGAGCAAGTCCCAGTGAGCTCTTGGTGACTTAAAGACCTCGCTATTGTCATCCAGGCTGGAGGCGGCAAGTTTGCAGACTACACAGATAGTTGTAGCTCTACCAGAGCCGCCTGGTCCCGCTCGCGCTCTCCCTGTCATCAGACAGTCTGAGAGAGAATGTGCCCGTTTGGTCTTGAGCATTGTTGGCCACGTCGAGAAACATGCTAAAGACTCCAGATTTCCTTCTTTGGTAGTTACTTTAAGGTGTTTAGTCTATAACATTCCTTTACAACTCTTCACCCAGTTAGTTCCTTAAGACTCTTCTTAGTTTTGTTGTGGTTTTAAAATATATTTTTATTGATTTCAGAGAGAGGAAGGGAGAGGGAGATAAAGGCATCAGTGATCACTGATCGGCTGCCCCCCGCCGCTCCCCCGCCGGGGATCGAGCCCACAACCCAGGCATGTGCCCTGACCAGGAATTGAACCTCGATCTCCTGGATCCTAGGTCGATGCTCAACCGCTGAGCCACACCGGCATATTCCAACTTTCCAACAAGAGGCAAAGCCCATGGGTAGGAAGGGGGTGTGTTTCTCCTTGTGCCCCCCACCTGGGTAGGCCATAGTCCAGTCTTCTATATGGGTGCTCACCATGGTCGTGGAGCCAGCTCCTAGAACTCTGGGGAAAGCTTTCTTTTAAGTACCATGCTCCTGTAATAATTAAACAACTACAAAAGTATGGACAGTAAGGTGGATTTATTTAAAAAGAAGGCTACAAAATTTGACATGGAGAGAGATAAAAAAGACCCACAGGATTTCAATCGATAAATACAAAAATGATTGGCTATAAACAATGTAAAAATATATTTTCCAGTCCCCAAACTGAATATAATTAAGTACAGCAATTATAAAACTTTTATATTTTAAGTGCATTTCCCTTGTAAGTTTTAAAAACCATTCTAAACAGTTTATTTGTATAAAAGATAACAAATTAAATTTATCATAGATGTTAATAAAAATTATTTTAAATTTGAGTTTACCGAGTCTGCCCTTTTCTGAACATAATAGTGGTTTTGGTCACAAGTTCTCCTTGAACTTTTTATTTACCACAATGGTCTTTTTACTCCTAATTTCTTCTATAGTAGAAGAGGGAGGCTAATCAGTCATAGGTCCCATAAAAATCAATGTGAAGAGAAGTTCTAATGACAAAAATACCAGTAAATATATTATTTTTCTGCAAAGGCAAAGATTAAGTGGCCCTACGCCAAGGAAATAAATGGAAGTGAAACCTCAGAACAACCAGAGCTTAAATTCAACCAGCTACATGTGTGAGGCCAGCTGAGGACATGGCCATCAAACTCCACTAAACCCAATGCATGGGTGGGACCCTGAGGTAGTCCAGATGGCTGGCTGTGAACCCCAACTGGGTCTAGGTGATATTTACAATGGCAGTGGTACAGTAGTTTGATGTGAAATTCCAGAACTTACTGACCATAAGCTGGTAATTTCTGAACCAATCTTTACCCTTGAACCCAAGATCCAAGCTACTTCTCCTCTCTTAGATCACCCGCCCAGCAACAGCAGCGGCCATGATTGGTTTCATCATCTCCCGAGCAGGTAACGGTGACATCACCACTAATACGAACATCCAAACTCTGATACAAACAGGTAAGGTCCTGAGTCACTAAGACAGAGCAGAAGCTGTTTCTGGCTGTAAGGACCCATTTTTGAGAACCCATCTACAATGCACAAAAGGCAGACGAGTTAAAAAAGGGTGGTGTCATTAAACTGCCTCGCTGGGAACATGATTCCACTTCTTCAGATAGAAAACCTAGCACACTTAACTTGGGAGACCACCGAAGTCCTGAAGGACCTGACGCATGGGCTTATCTCCTTAACACCAATGTCTTGAGTCAAAAATCTAGGAGGACAAGAAAGGTCTAGTCTGGGGGCCACGGCCTGCCAACAACAGACAATTCTTCCAAATTATCCGAACTGGTTATGACACGTCTCTTGAGAATGGTCTGACTACTCCCTTACAACCATCAACAATACTAACCTGGACAGGATTCTCTAGATATTCACTTTCTTAAGGTCTCCTCCAGAGAGAAATTAGAGCAATGCCTCTGTGGGAACAAAAACCCTAAGGATCCTGCTAACACTCTGTGCAATTAAAAGGGCCCAAGATCCTGGGCCACTGGAAGACAACTGCCAACAAGAAAGAGCGAGAGGTCCGCCTCTGCCAGATGATGAAGTAGCGTGTGGACCATTCTGGTAAGGACACAAAAGCAAGCATCTCACATGGATAAAAATCAAAGGCTGGGGTTTTAAAAAGAAGACTAGCTCCAAAGAAAACACGAAAGAGGAGCGGCAGAGCTGTGTCAATTTCGGCAGAAACAACCACGTGCCAACAGGATGAACTATTTTCTCACTCCCAGATGGAAGCGCCTCTCCCGACACTCGGTAAGTGGCTGCGGCCTGCTCTTACTTCACTGTATTGCACGAAAAGTACACCTTTATCATCTCTGGTCCTTAGGTGTGAGATGAGCTTCTTCCAATTTCTATGTGTTACATACAAATCTTTTTCTTTTTACTTAATATTAACAATAACCAAAGTGCAGTATGTTGCTTTTATACATATAAAACACCAACATGCCCCATACATTTCCTATTAGGCTATAAAAGAGTTAATAACAATCATCTTAAAATGTTACAATAGAATTTTAAGGCTGTGGGAGATACAGTAAAACCTGGGTATTATATTTTAAGGAAGAAACCTAGACCAACATTTTACATTTTGAATTTAAAAATTTTAATATACATTAAATTTTATCTAATCATCGAAAAACAACTCAGAGCTAAGCAAATTAACTTAAAAATGAAACAATGTCTAAATGGATGAACTTAATCATGCAGTTCGTATAGCTATAAAGAATAATCTGAAAGCTAAGCCTAGTAACAAAGACAAATAATTTATCATCAGTTGAGCTGTGATTTAAAGAAACAACTCCCCCCTCCAAAAATGAAACATCATTGACACAAATTTCAAATGTTATAAAAAAACAAAAAACCCTCTCGCCTGACTTTGGTGACCGACACACTGTCCAATATTGATAAAACTGCCTTCCGGCCCTTCCCTTGCTCTTCAAAAGAAGTGGTTTCGCAATTCTACAGATAGTACAAGTGCTTCTGCCCGGGCTCAGGCACCACGCAGTCGCCACGTTACACAACACCTGCTCCCTAGAGTCTTTAAGCATTCAGTGGTTCGGTGAGGGCCTCCTGCCTATTGGTAGCCTCAGGTGGTTTTCTCAGCTGGGATTCCTGTCGTTTTTCATACCACATATAGCAGAAGTCAAACAAGAACATAAAACTTGCTAGAAATCCAAACACCTGAGGAGAAAAAAGGGGAAATGGTTATATGAGGAATTTTATAATATAATCTCACGTTTCCTACTTGGCTTTGAGGGTGTTTCATACAAGCAAGATGACTCATCAATTTTATCTTAAATTCAGTGGTAAAAAAAATGTTTAAGGTCACCAAAAATGGAAAGAAGTTACCAAAAAAAAAAAACCACTCCAGAATAATGGCTATTGGTCAAAGTCTCACAAATAACAAATGCCCTGTTTTAAAAGTGCATGTTCATATGTGGGGTGCCAATCTATGAAACTAAGGTTAACAGATGAAGAACAAAAATCATTTAAAATGATACAAACATGGGATTATTAGCAAAGGTTAGATTGACCCACAGATGAGATAAGGGACATATGATAGTAGGCAGCTAAGCCTAGGCGAAAATGGAAAAAGTCATTAATATCAAAAACAGAAATTCTATTTTGAAGATACCTTCGGGTTAAATTATCTAAAAAAAATATTTTCCAGTTATTTGTCACACTCTAATGACACAGCACCATGACGCCACTTCCCCTTCCTTAAATCACTTCCTCATTAGGTACTCTTCGAACATCTGATCCACATTCCGAGAATTCTGTCAAGAGACAGAAGACCTGGTTCAAATACAGCTCTCCACTGGCAAAACCATGAAGGAAGTGGGAGCCAAAGTGCTCTACAGAGAGAGAAAATTGATGCAGGTAATGGCTAAAGTCCCTTCCAACTCTGGCACCCCACCCGTCTCCGTGGTTTTTAACATTCTGTTGTCATCGGCTTCAGTCTCTTTACCCTTCATGTTCAACCTCTCCACCCTGAAGAATATGCATTCTGCCTCATCTCACTGTAAAGCAAACAGCTCCAAACTCATTCATTCACCTCGGTGTCCCCAACACATCCAACCTAAAATTAATTATCCACCCCAACCCACCCAACACCCAAGACTCTTCTCCCCTAATGGCACCTACCCTCTTACTGAACTGGCTAACGGAGTAGCACTAAAGGTAGACCAGATGTCACCTTGTCTGTGACACCATCTCTGGTCACCCCCAGAAAGCTCCAGTCCATGCAGGGCCCTCCATGCATATCATCCAGATAGATGACTGTCCAGCTCTTTTGCTCACATACTTCACAAAAAAATTTTTAATGGATTCCCCCACTCATTTAATTCTACAAAATTTTTCATAATCTAAATAGCTGCAAAAGGTAATTTTCAGCACATTAAAAATGTTTTTAAACTGCCAGTTGCTCTTAAATATATCCAATGAAATCTAAATACTGTAACAATCTAACAATCATCTAATTAAAACACATAAATAAGCTCTTTTTTAATAGCTGAGAAATTTTTTTTTAGCTGAGGAATTTTATGCCATGCTTTTCCCTCCGAAACTCAACTTTTCCTCCATTTCCACTTCACTTCCTCCACCAAATTTTATAGTAACATATTTCTATTCTTGAAAATATTTTCTTGACCTATCTTCCTCTGCAACAAAAATATGTACATACACTGGAGTTAACCATAAGGCTCTGCTAAAACTTTCGGTTTTCTCTTTAACTGGTTCATGTCTCCATGGATAAATATTACATATTGCCAGAGTGAGTCACAGTTCAGCATTAATTTTATTACTATGTTTTATTTTTACATACGTAAGTGCTAAGAAACTGTGAATAGGTATGTTATAGCCATGCAATTCCTTTTAAGTTGTACTACTAGAAAAAGTAATTTTAATGATCTATTAGCTGACCACTCAATTACTACTTCAGTTTTTGTCATGAACAAAGTATTAATTGGAAACCAGCTGGCTTATAAGAGGATTTGTCATCCAGTTGTTAGCTGCTCACATTCAGAATACTGGTACTAATTCAGTCTATGATCCTTGACTTGCAATTCTGAAATCCCAAAAAAGTTGAACATTTGCCCTGTCCCATGTGCCTCAATGGTCAGAGCGTTGGCACCAACGGGTCTCAGGTTCAATTCCTGATCAAGGGCACATACCTGGGTTATCGGGGCACATGTGGGAGGCAACCAGTTGAGGTGTCACTCTCTCATATTGATGACTCTTCCATCTCTCTCTCTCTCTCTCTCTCTCCCCCTCCTCTCACTCCTTCCCACTCTCTCTAAAAAGCAATGGAAAAAATATCCTGGGGTGATTTTTAAAAAGCTCAATGTTTTCATGACTTGCTATTTAAAGTCTTTACCTGTCCCTTTTACTGTGAATATTCATATGCTTCAGAAATACTACTATGCTGGGTTACAGGATAGCACCCAGGCCCTCCGAAGGTACTGTGTAAAGAAGTTTATGTTCAGCGTAAACTTTCTAAAATCCAAAATATTCCGAATTCTTAAAAAAACCTGCCCCTCCCCTCCAAGGGATTTCAGATAAAAGCATTTACTTATCATTTCCTTAACTAGGCTCAGCTTTTGGATCATTTCTCCATGTAGTGTCTACACCTAAACAGCACATGGCAAGTAGATGAGTTTTTGCTGAGCCAAAAAGCAGACAGTAAGGCAATAAAGTCAATTCTACCACTTCCATTAGCAACATGTTCATATGTGGAGTAAGTGGGTTTCTGTTAACAAAACTCAAATGCTAAAGGCAGGTTCTAGAGTTTTCAGCTATCACATTTAAAGCTACTCACAATTACAATAAAAAATAAGTTAAAAGACAAACTACTCTCCCATATTGGGTAACTTGCCAAGCACTTTCCAGACTCCATATTTCTAATGTAACGAACATAAGCAAAGATAAAAATACAAGGTACTTACAATTGCAGCCATTTCAGCTGCGGTGTGGTCATGTGTGGAAACGAAAATGATGGATGCCAAAGTAAACACACATGCTATCACCAAAGTAATATAAAAGTCCTATACGTACATATAAAACATAAGGAATACAGTATGTTAGGTTGATGGAAACAAATATCTTAGTTTTTTACTGTTAAAAAGCTTTAGTGACTTATATTTTTTCCCTTCAGTTTTCAATAAGTCTGGCATTCCATAAACACCCTGTAAAGAAATACCATCCACTCTTTGGAAAGGGTATAGTCAGAGACTACGTTACAAAATAAGCTTGTCATGAAACAGTTCCCCAAAAGATCGTGTGTGTGTGTGTGTGTGTGTGTATTTCTCTAGGACACATTAAAATGATCAAAGACAAAGGATTTATTAAATCTAGCTTACTTCCACACACACACACACAAAAAAGTATTTTTCTTTCCTTTCAGCATATTCTGTGCTAGAACGGCCTCTCTGAGAGGACTTTGGTGCTTTGAAAGCACTTTGGAAAAGAGAGAATCAAAAGAACCACCCATAATTAACTAAATAAAATCATGTCAACGGTATGTTTTTTAGCCACTTAAACTTTCTGTGATAACATATTATTTTCAATTGTTCCAAGTGGGTAGGTAATACAAATGAGCTTGTATGACAGGTTACCTACTACCATAAAAGCTTCCACATCTCATCACAATGTGGCTTACAACAATGGGGTTCTTCATGGGTTTCCAAGTGCCCTCTCAGGCATCACCTCATAAGGCTCTCTCTCATATGCCAACTGAAAACTGCTGGACATACATACTTGATTCAGAGGAGAAACGTAAATGATAGCCACTCCAAAGTGTTTTACATCTGATGCTCTGAGTTTTCTGAAATGCAATCTTCACTAAACCTAATATCGATAAAACTATCCCACAGAGAATTCCTACACTATTGTCAATCGTTCATTTAACATTTGTAAAAAAATTAAGAAGTTTTCTCTTTGCTTCTAAAAGAGATGCTTTCCTGCAGTACTTGAATGTTATTTCAAATCTGCTACATGCATATATAAAACTCTACTCACTAATATTTGGATTACATTCAAGGAGGTATTTAAACAAGACAGTCGTTTTGAGATGGAATAATTTACTATTCAATAAGCATGGGTTCTAGAGCCAGACTATCTGAGTTCAAATCCCAATTACACTACTTCCCAGCTATATGGCTTTGAATTAGTTACTGAACGTCTGTGTGCCTTTGTCTCTTCATCTGCAAATGGAGGTAGTAACAGTATCTTTTTCATTAGATGAGTCTAAAAATTAGTGTTAATCCACTGAAAGTGCTTAGATCAGTGCCAGGCACACAGTAAATGTCCCATAAATGTTGGCTATTGTTATTCTTGATAGAATCTGACCCACAATAGCACGGAACAGAAAAGATTCTTTCTTATAAAAGATTATCCTTCTACCCTAGACACCACCACTACACACTCAAAACATTTTCTCTAAAACAGAAAACCTCCCTTATATGAAAGTATACTTAAAATTTAAATACATTAATATGTACACAGTGAAAGTGATTTTAAAACCATTGAAACTAACATGAAATCTTTCCATAGTTAGGTAAAAAGCAGAATATATACACTCAATGATTACAACTATTTAAAATTTTTAAAATTACCTCTTAATAGAAACAAAAGACCCAAAAGAAATATAGTAAAATACTTACAAAATATTTTAAAATATAGTAAAATATATACAAAAGCTGTTAATATTTATAAAATAACCGAATTACTTATTTTATTCCCCAGTATTTTTAAATCACTATTTACTCAAAAATAATTTTTTAAATCAAGCTTGATGTAATAAATGTTTTACATTTTGTTTTCTGTTGTTAGACCATTACACTAAATGGAAAATATTACACTATTGTTTCTTGTCAAAAAGATTAATGTTCTTAAACACTACTAATATGGCACTAAAGTAAAAACTAACATTTCTAAAAATATTCTTATTAGGATAATGATACTGTTTTGTTAAGAAATAAAAAATGTTTTTAATTTTTAATGTTTAAAATATAGATTTATACAAACAACAAATCAATCAGCTCAGATATTAGTGAGCTTTTCCCCTGTCCAAATCTTATCACATCTAATCTGTAAAAAGGAAGACTTCTCAAGGATTATACTTATTGTAACAAAAATTCCAAGGTATTCTCCTCATCTCTTTTTCTATGTATTTCATAAAATGCATGGGTGTTATTATCACTCTTATACAGAGATTCCTGTGGTGATATCTGCCATGATACATCTAGAGTTGCTAGGGCCTCTCTGGCCAGGTAGCTCAGTTGGTTAGAGCACCATCCTGATACGCCCGGGTCTGATTCCTGGTCAGGGCACATACAGGAAGCAACCAATGAGTGCATAAGTAAGTGGAACAGCAAATCGATGTTCCCTCCCTCTCTTTCCCCTTCCTCTCTCTCTCTAAAAAAATCAAGTAAATGGAGCATTGAGGTGTGAGGACTCAAAACCACAGCATATAAAGTACCTGGCACACAGTACTCACTGACAGCAGCTACTATCAGATAAGATGACAAAACAATCATACACTGGCCATACCAAGAACTGTGTGCAGGAACTCATCAAAGACTTGCTGGATTTGATTCAGACTGTTTTCCAAAGTTATTTTTTTAACTGTTTGGTATCAACTTTAAAAAAAATTTTAAATCTAAAATAATTCTTTTAAAAGAAGGTAACAGATTCCTACGATACAAAATTTAAGAGGTATAAAATGGTATATAGAAAAAAGGAAGTATCTTAGGTGTAAAAATCAATATATAACCCAATGGTTGCTTCTCATTAATTTAAACTAAAACATAATCTTACTGCTTTGTATTTATCCTATTATCTTTTGTTTTTAATAGTTAAAAATTTATCCTAATTTTTAGTCATTTCTCTCAGAGATGTGAATTCTCTACATCAATCCTGACATGTACGATTAATTCTTCACAGACCACTACTGGTAATTCACCTGCTACTGAAGAAGTAAACTGCTCAGTTCTTTCTTTCTTCAATGCAGTACCTATGAGAAAAGCTCGCCTGTCATCTCACAAATCCTCATACTATACTAAATAAAAACACAGGGTCAGCAGAATAAGTTTTTAGAAAGTTATGCATCTCTAATAAATGCTTCTTAATTTGCTTATAGAAAAATTTTCCCCATAATAAAATCAAAACAAAATAGGTAGAATTACATGCTGTTTTATTTATAAGCTCCAGGTACATAGCACATCAGTTCATTCCTCCATCTCTAGTGTCTAGCATAATGCCTGCCATATAATAGGTACACAACGAATAACTGTAGAACCAATGGGTGACACTCTGAAATGCGAGAAATCGAAAGTGACAAACTCTTAGTTTTTAAAAATATCTAATGTGAATTAGATTAAACCACCAGTCATTGTAAACTACGGGTATTGTTTGTCACTTTCATTCTAATTTCACTTTCCCCGTCTATCATCCAATTTGGCAGGGAAGACGAAGTTGCTTAGGGGCAGAACTGCAACCACTTTTCTCATGTTACTGAGTTTTGAAAGCGTTACTATTTTGAAAAATAAAACTATACAAGATTCCAAAATAGCTATGTTCTTAGTAGAAGGATTACATTTTTTCATGCTTACCGAGGTCTTGACTTTTACAGGTTCGACTCTGTCATACACTGGAGTGCAGTACACTATCAGGATAAGGAGACAAAGGAGAAAGGCACTGCTGCTTACAAACTCGAAAAAGTAAAGTCCTCCACACAAAGTGCACTGTGATACAATTTCTTCACAGATAAATGCCACCAGAGACAGCAACTAAGAAAGAAACACAACATTTTACTTCAGTGTTTTCAGAGAAACCTACAGTACTCAAAAACACCATCTGTTCACTCAAATATTTATAAAGTGGAGACCATGGCAAACAAGCTTACTGAATGGCGGATCTACACAGAACTTATAGTCTGGTTACTTTGAAGGGAAGACAGGTACACAAATAATTAATCAACTACCATGTGCTACAGAATAGGGGAAATACAGGGTGTTGTTATAAAAGCACACAGAAGCCCTGGAGTGGCTCAGTTGGTTGAGCGTCATATCCTGAGCGCCAAAAGGTTGCTGGTTCGATTCCTAGTCAGGGCACACAGCTGGGTTGTGGGTTTGAGCCCCAGTTGGGGCACCTATGGAAGGCAACCAATCGATGTTTCTCACATCAATGTTTTTTTCTCTCCCCCTTCCTCTCTCTAAGCATGTCGTCCAGTGAGGATTTTTAAAAAATAAAAAACACACAGAAGAACCACTGAACTTGGGAGGTCAGGAAAGGCTTCCTGAAGAAAAGCTGAGACCTGAACGGGCAGTAGAGTCAATCTGAGGAGTTAAAGACAGAGAAGTTCCAGGCAGAGCAGCAGTACATACGAAGACTTAAGAGGGAAGACAGCATGGCACCCGCCTACCCCAACACACACACACATATCCCACCACCCGCAACTGAATGTGAAAGCAAGTTGAGTCACCATGGCTGACGTGTCCAGTTTGAAGGAAGGAGACAGCAGCACAAGAATGATTAAATGAGGCAGAGGTAAGCAGAAGCCAGATCAAAATGTCCTCTTTAACTAGTTTAAGGACTCTGAATTTTAAGGGTTTTTAAAGCAAAGGGTAACGTGATCAGGTTCATGCGCTTAGTAGTTCTCACTAGCTACAATATGGGGATGGGACTGGAGGAAGGACAAAGCTTGGGGCAGACATCTAGTCGGGAAGCTGATGTATGACTTTGGGGAAAAGAGAGCGAGTAGGATAGCTAGCAGTAGTAACGGACAAGAGTGGCTAATCACTAAAAAATGCAGTAGAGCCCTCACCAGACAGGATAAATACCAACAGAGAAGGAAACAAGATAATGCACATGTACTGAAACATTTTAACTTAGTACAAAACAGCATATTTATTCACCAATCATCTGAAGTGGGCCTTGTCTCTGAGTATGAGTCTACAAAATTGGAATTCCACATCACGTTTCCTACATTAATCCCTGCATCATTTATGACTACCACTTCCAGACTGATATTATTTTAAGTGGAGCAAGAACTTGGACATTGATAATCAGGGTACAGAATCCTTCTAGAGCTGAACTAGTTTTACTAGTCTTTCAGTTGCCTTGCTCTTACTTAACTGCATAGCAAATATTTTAGTAACTTATTTTTCCGTCTTTCCAAAGTATGCTAGAAACAACTCCTTTTCACACTCCATTTTAGCCTGCGTAATATTTAACTAAATGTCTGACCATAAAAATTGTTAGTATAAACCAGTATGGGGATAACATAAGTCAACTGCTGGCAGAGGTTAAGAGTAAAAGAGTGCGCCCCAGCTGGCGTGGTTCAGTGGGTTGGGCATCAGCCGGTGCATCGGAAAGTCATTGGTTCGATTCCCAGTCAGGGCACATGCCTGAAGCAGCCAATTGATGTTTTTCTCTCTCCCTTCCTCTCTCTCTCTAAAAAGAAATTTTTTAAATAAGAGAAGAGAGTGACAAGTGCTCCAGAGGTGTTCGCTGGCCATGGCTGTCTGTGATAGACAGGCATGGGTTAGAAAGAGTCTTGCACTGAATGAAGAATGGTTAACTCTGGTTGATTCGGCAATTCAATTAAGTGGAAGTGTTCCCACTGTTGTGTTTGTGGTGTTAACATACTGCTGCTTCACTGCAGAAAGAAGAGTTTTGTTTTCTTTTTCTTTTTAAGGGGCAAGGGTGTTGGGAAGAGAATAAATTCAGTTTTAATCATGCTGTGCATGAGGGGTCTGCGATAGAGTTAAGCAGAGATGTCTAGGAGGTAAGTGGATATATAGGTCTGGAGCTCAGAGAAGAGGTCTGAGGTGGAGACAAGATGTGTGAGTCAGTCCTGGCCGGTTAGCTCAGTTGGTTGAAGTGTCATCTTGATACACCAAAGCTGAGGGTTCTATCCCCAGTCAGGGCACAAACAAGAATAAACCAATGAATGCATAAATGAGTGGAACAACAAACCGATGTTTCTCTTTCTCTTTCTTAAAAAAAAAAAAAAAAGATGTGGGAGTCAGCCAGTGAGATTACCCAGAACAAGGAGAACTCTGAAGAACCCCAAGATTTAAGGGATATGCAGGGGAGGAGAGAGGGGAGGAGAGACCAGCAAAAGACAATTAGGAGCAGTAGATAGTAGCAAGGGATAGTAGACCAAGAAAAAAGTATTTCTATAAAGAGAAAGGAAACCAGAGTGCTGAACGCTCCTTAGAAGTCAGATTAAAAACAAAACTGAAACGCATTAGACTGAGCTGCAAGAAGGCTGCTGATGACATCAGCAAGACAATTTCAGGGTAGTGACATAAGGAAGCTTAGATTACAGCACTGCATGCTGGGAAGTAAGGGGAAGACAAGGCAGTGGAATAGAGACAGCAGAGGCAAGAAGTGTGGTTTCAAAAGAGTGGCCAGAGAGGGTAGTAAGGGACAAGGTCAAAGGGAAGGGAATCTCAAGATGGGAGATAGTCGGCGTGTCCAACTGCTCAGGCAGAAACCAGTAAGACAGGTGTGTCTAAGGCAGAAAGAAAGGAGGCTCTCTAAAGGTAAGATTCAGAGCTCAGGTTTGGGGCTAACTCCTATCTAGAAATAAGAGGGAAGAAAGTGAAGGGAGTTTCACTTGGGCAGTTTGTGTGGATTTTGTGGAAGCTGAGGGAGTTTCCTCCTGAGAGTTAAATCCATCAGAATAACTATGAGCTAAGTAGATGCCCATCAGGAAATACTATCTCATCCAAGTCAGGCTGGTAGAAGCAACCAGATATATTATGGGCAACAAGATTGCTACCAAAAGCAATAGATGTATTTCATAGTACGTAATAAAAAAATTTTCCTACAAGGTATTTCCATACAAAAGAGGTCAATGATATAGCCATTCTGAAAAGCAGTTTAGTAGTTTCTTAAAAAACTAAGTATGCAAATCCCATAAACCCAGCAACTGTATTTCTGCATTCTGCACCCAACCAAGAGAAATGAAAACTTATGTTTGTGCAAAAATGGATACAAACATAAAATCGTTATGAATGCTTATAACGATTTTATTCATAATAGCCCCAAACTGGAAACAATCCAGATGTCCTTTAATGGTTAAGCAAACTGTGGTAGGTACATCCATACCAAGGAACACTACTTAGCAATAAAAAGGAACAAGCTTGACATACCAACAACCTAGATGAATCTCAAGAGAATTATGCAAAGTGAAAAAAATCCAATCTCCAAAGGTTATAGACTGTATGATTCTTTTTATATAGCATTCCTCAAAACAAAAAAACAAAAAACACCCCAAAGGTTATAGAGATGGACAGAGGAGTGGTGTGGCTTACGTGGAAGCATGAGGGAACCCTGTGGTGATAGAACAGTTCTGCATCTTGCTTGCGGTAGTGACTATAGGAAGCTACACATGTGATGAAACTGCATAGGAGTAACACACATGCACACAGGTGCGGGCATACAGGAACTCCCTGTACATTCACAAGTTCCTGTGAATCTATAACTACTTCAAATTAAAAAGTTTTTTTAAAAAGTCCAATCTATGCCCAGCCAGTGTGACTCAGTGGATGAGCATCAACCTATGAACCAAGAGGTCACTGGTTCGATTCCTGGTCAAGGCACATGCCTAGGTTGCAGGCTCCATCACCAGTAGGGGGTGTGCAGAAGGCAGCCGATCAATGACTCTCATCATTGACGTTTCTCTCTCTCTCTCCCTTCCTCTCTCTGAAATCAATAAAAACATATTTAAAAAAAAAAAAAAGTCAAATCTAAATTGGTATCTAAGCCTCTAAGGGATTTTCCCCCTTCTACTGAGCAATACAAAATTCATATATCCCCACAACTGCAAAGAATCTATATAAGGACAAAAACAGATCCTACAGATTTCCTGTTAGTGAAGCATAAAACCATCCAGCATATCCCAAACAACTTCCTTCAGAAAGATGTTAGGTGAGGCATTCCCAATCACTAAACCACAGGATATAAAGGGCACACCAAGACAACCGCCAGAAGGTCACTGAGTAAAGGTACTTCCTTAGTCTCCTGTAATTATAGGTACAGGCAGAGTCTTTATAGAACTAGAGTATAATAAAATACTGTCTACTACTCTATTTGCTTTATTCTTGCCTTTATGTTGCCTCTATCTTAGGAGTTTTAGGAGTTTCTCTATGAGAAGTTTGCCAAAATATACCTCAGTTGTATAAAAGTCAATTAACTATGAGAAGATATCAGCCTAAAACTCTAATTGGGGCTTGAGAACAGCTGAAGCATTCTTATCACAATAATTAGATTATTAGGAACACTCATCTGTGTAGGCTATATGACCAAAACAATCTTATCTGTAGTATAAATACAGGCTGCTTATCTAGTCTCAGTAAGAAAAGGGCAGGATCCTGCTTGGCCAGGAGCAATCAATGTCATTACAAGTCCTGTTCCCAACTTATTAACAGGAAGGGGCATGAACAAACCAGAACACACTCCCAAAGGCAAGAATTCGCATGGTAAGCCCCAAAGGGAAAATAAGGCAACTGACCTAACTGGATGGGGAGTGATGAGAAAAAAGGTTAAGGTGCTGGGTGTGGTTATGTAAAGATCCTGCCAGGGAGGATGGACTTCCAGATGAAGACAGCAGGGACTGCCTGCTGGGCTTAGCTGGATAGCAGACAAAAGGAACAACGACTGGGTGGGGCCTGAAGGAATATCACAGTTCCAGAGTCCCAGGGAAAGCAAGGGACACCAGACAAGCAAGTCATGGGATGTTCTGCACTGCCCAGGAAAACTCCTTTGAGAAGCAAATAAATATCCTCCAAACTGTTAAACATCGATGCTGGGGAGTGTGAGGGGTATAGTGTAGCTTATTTTAATCATATTCTTAGTTGATTTTTTTTATAAGCAGACTTTTTTTTTAATTAAAAAAAGAAAAAATGTGAAAGGGAAGAAAAAATTTCAGATGGGAGGTCGCCAACACTAAATACAAAGGTGATTAAGGAGAGAAAAGAGATAAAGTCACTGAATTGGATGAGGAAATAATGGTGAAGGCAACCCGTAAGTTAGAAGGTTCAATTACTATTATCTGGTGAACAGTTTTGCCCTCGATAGCACGAAGACACCATACAAAGTGTTACTTACTAAATATGAAGCTAACCCCCTAACGACAGAACACCAATGCGGCTCCTTCTAATGACAAAATTTTACCCAGATACAACTAAAGGAATTACCCAACTTTTGGAGTTGGGAGGGCCTTCGGAGAGCAGATAGTCTCCCACCCTCATATTTACAAGTGATGGAATTAATCTCTGACAGGCTAAGTCCCAAATTAGCCAGGCACAGACAAGAACCCAGGTCTCCTGACTCCCACTATGTATTTGTGACCCCCATAAAACACTATTAAGTTCATTTTATGACTATGTATGCTTGTGTAGGTCTCCCCTGTAAAACTGGGTTTTTAAGGTTAAAACTACAATTTTGTGTATTTCCCCTTTTGCTGATAAATCACACATTAAAACTAATTTGCCACAGTCAACACATTGGGGAAGTCTCAGTGACTAATAAAAGCTGGTCTTACTCACAGTTCTAGTGATTTACACATTCAGATAATTACTACCCTGGGCCTCTCTTCATTTCAATTTCACTACCTTTTCTGAAACTTCAAGTCTTCCTTAAAACTAAGTCATTGTATTAAATACTAATTCTCCATCATTTGTCTTTAACAGTCTGTTATGGAAAAAATTTCTTATAAAAAAGAACTTTTTAATGTTTGCCATTAATTATAAAACTCCATCTACAAAATTATGTTAATTTGTGCATTAATGAACTTGTAGTCATATGTAAGTTCCAAGTAAACAAATCTGTCTTCCTGAAGTTAGGCTAGGCTTCCCTTGCCTTGGGCAAACATTTACTCTCACAAAGGTTCAAAGATAAAATTTGCTGACATTATGGATCTTCCTCAAGTAAAAATAGAGCATTTTTAATTTAGTACATATCAATCTTCACATTTAAATAATGAAAAGAGCACCAATATAAGATAAGTTGCTTCTAAGTGATTTGTTTCTTGGCACTTACAGAGGAACATTATTTATCATTTAAAAAATTTAAATCACTGATGAATTCCAAATCAAACTGCTTGCTTGGTCAATATAATCACAGTACTGTGCAGCCCTCGGGACATCCAACTGGCACAATAAACACAATGTCAGCTGTTGCAGAGAGAATATTACACATATTTAGATCACTACACCAGCTTACTAGCCAGGAATTAGGTTGCCAAAGGCCAATTCACCCCTTAAACACAAACTCTCTCAAAAGTAACAACAAAAAAAACCTCACAAAATAAAGTGCATGGGCATAAGGATCAATCTAAGGATAGAATAAAATGATAAACTGAATGTGTAAGTTTAGGACTGTAGTGACTCCTTACATTGAATTCCTACCTGAACCTTTATGTCTTCTTCGGCTCTGGAAGGGTAGGTGGTAGTTAGAGGCTGCTTATGTTTTGAATGAGCCTTTGACAAAATTAAGGTCATACCTGAATGGAAGACACAGCTCTACATCTCCAACTCAAGAGTTACAAGCATATAACTCAAGTGCTTAGTTACACTCTTCTATCTCTACCCTTCCCTCCTGTGTTTGTAGGCTCCATTCTCTACCCCTTTGGTGTTCAGTTCTGTACCAGCACGACCCACAGAGCCTCAAAGATCTGTAAAAATCTTCAAGAGTGGAAAGGATCTCAGAGGAAATCCATTTCAACCTCCTAGGACTCTAAGAATTTCCTAAGTAAACAGTCTCTGGCTTTGAAGTTTTAGACTAAAGTTCCTTTCTCTTTGAGGTCTTTAAGAATCTGGTAAGATGTATGGATTTAGAATCGCATACCCAAACACAGAAATGCACTACATTTTAAATAAAATGTCATAGGGCTTGTAGGTCCCTTGTTAAAGTACCTCCTCTTCTGATTATGAGTTTTTCCATGATAGTGTTACGTTGTTGGAGCTCTGAAATTCTATTTAATTTTTAAAAATAAATCATCTGCCTGGTCAGGCGTGGCTCAGCAGTTGAGCATCGACCTAGGATCCAGGCGATCGGGGTTCGATTCCTGGTCAGGGCACATGCCCTGGTTGCGGCCTAGGCAGCCGATCAATGACTCTTATCATTGATGTTTCTCTCTCTCTCTCTCTCTCTCCCTCTCCTTTCCTCTCTCTGAAATCAATAAAGATATATTTTTTAAAAAATTAAAATTAAAAAAAATAAAATAAATAAATCATCTAAAGTAAAACAACCTAAAGGCAGAATTTGAGTTAAGGCAAACAAGACTTTGCCTGTTGCCCCAGGCTGGACGACAGTTTTCATTTACTTGGAACTTTCTGGGTAACTCCTATAATATACTGTTGGGAAGAGATAAAATATTATTAAAACAAACAAAACAGGAACAAAAAAACAACCATCAAAATGAAAGGCAATAATTAAGAAATATTTTTAAAAATCTATATTAAAGAAAGCATTCTTATAATATTACAATATTCTTACAATATTCCCCATAAACAAATAAAGAGATTTCAAAAGAGATGGTTTCTATCCTTTCCTTCTTTCTCCTTATGGATGATGGAAAACAAGCAGGAAGAGTCTACCAAACTCGCACGGCAAATTCACCTTCCCGGCTTCTTTAAGTCCAAGCAAATTCTACCACCAAAATTTCTAGTTGCATTCTGTTCTGAAGATACACAGCTAGAGTTTATTAAATCATAAAAACAAGGTCATAAAAAGTTTTACTTTCGCTTTGCTATTTCTGATTAGGAAGAAAAATATAAAGGCAACTGAAAATAAATTTAATGGGCAACAGGCGAATATTGATGATGTCTTTTAAGCAATAAGAATGCTTCAGATTAGTATCAATTCATTTTGTTCTAAAGAGTTCTACTCAAGTAGAAACATTTTAACTCTACTGCAGAGAAACAGCTGAAATCCAAATCATGTGAGAGCTGACAAGAGGAAGAGCAGAAGGAAGCGCTTCTGGGTAGAAGGAATGAATAGGTGATGCAAAGAAACAGGGAGCCCCTGCTGCTTGGCAAGAGCCTCGAGGCTGGCAGTGTGGGGCTACCTAAAAGGAGGCTGGAGACACAGACAGAGCCAGGCCTTCTTGGGGTCCATTGCCCATATTGTTACTTGCCTCCAAGTGACTTCCCAGTTATTCCCAGATGTGGTTTTGGTGGCTTAAAAGTAATGGCAGTTTCCTAACTGCCATTTTTCTATTCAATAAAAGTAGGTCATCTGAGTTCTAAGAACATAAGCTCCGGTTACCTGAGTTCTAAGAATTTAAATTATTCCCAAAAGAAACTAATTGGCTCCTTTTACTTGGGGTGGTTTAAAAAAACAAACCAACCTCTAAACATTCTTAACAGTCTGATTTTCCATCTTGCAGAAAATGCTGCTTATTACTGGAGCAATCCGTGTGTAAACGGAATTAAAACTTAAATCGCAAAGATGTTTTGATATTTTCACTAACACGTTCACGGCACCTTCACTGCCTGCAGCAAACTAAAATTCAATGAAACTGAAAATGCCGTGCCCTAGTTCTGCTACCTGCACTCAAAACATCAAAAACCTGTCCTTTTGACTTTGTACTTCGTACACTCGTGTTGTCCACTCAGAAAGAGCTATTTTCCAATCAAGATAAAACTTTTGGGAGACAGTCTGTTGAACACACACATAACGCCAAGTGCGTGGTATGGGAAGACTTCGTCCACCCCATTTAGCCGGCCCCACGGGCTCGCACCAGGAAAACCGCAAGAGCCAGGGAAAGATAAAACGCTCTCGGTCGTCTAAATTCAGGCTCCTCGGGAGATAACGCAGAGCAACAACAACGCGGGGAGAAGGGACGGCGGGGGCTGCAGCCTAGCGTCCCGCTCGGGTCCGCCCGGCCGCATTTCCCGGATCCGCCGACCTTGCTCGGTGGCCCTCAGTCGCCATCGGGGACCCACCCGGAGAGAGGCCCGAGGATGCGGGGCCGCCCAGCGGGAGGGGCGGGGGCCGAGGGTAACGTCCCCTCCCCGAGCGGAGAGGGAAGGAACCGGGGGTGTGGAAACGGCCGCTTCCTGAACGACCACGTTGAGGAGAGGAGGCTGGGCGGCCTCGCAGGCCCGCAGGCCGACGGCCGGGAACC